CATGTCCTCAATGCCCTCATCGACACCGGTGCCGATTATTCGGTTATGAGCAGCACCCTGGCATCCCAACTGAGGAAGGCAACTACCCCTTGGCAAGGAACCCTGTTGCGCACGGCAGGGGGCCACCTCGTCACGCCGACTGGAATGTGCACAGCCCGTGTTCGAGTCCATGCTTCAACGTTCACAGGGTCTTTCCTCGTATTACCTGTGTGCTCTTGTCCACTCATTTTGGGACTGGACTTTCTTTGCGAACACGGCGCAATTATTGACCTACGAGACTTGCAGGTGTCGTTCCAGGACTTGTTTCATCCTGAACCGGAAAACGCCCGCTTGTCGAAGGCTGCCCTACGTGTACCCTCCGAATCTGTTACTCTGCCTCCCCGCAGCAGCTTCTTTATCAACGTTGAATGTGACCAAGACGTCCCCGATGCTGTAATTGCAGAAGGAAATTTGTCCCTACTTTTTGCACAACAAATCTGCATTGCCCGAGGTATTGTTCAGCCCAGGAGAAAGCAGGCTTGCCTATTAGTCACGAATTTTAGCGAGGAGTATCGCTACCTTACCAAACACACTGCGATCGCATACCTTGAGGATATTGCCGACGTCCCTGGTTCCTCAACATTATCTGCTCTTTCGTCATGCGACGATTCCGTCATGACATTTGCAAGCACTCTCGACGTAAACCAGGATCTACCGTCCACACAATGGGAACGTCTTTAGAAGCTACTCGGCTCATTTCGGGACTGCTTTGCTACGACTTTGAAAGTGAACCAAACACCGCTTGCCAAGCATCGTATCATCACCGAGCCTACTGAGAGACCCATTCGACAGCATGCCTACAGGGTCTCTCAGAAAGAACAAGACGTTAGACGCCAACAGGTCGAGCAGATGCTCAAGGACGATGTCATCCAGTCATCGACCAGTCCCTGGGCGTCCCCTGTTATTTTAGTAAAGAAAAAATATGGTACCCTGCGATTTTGCATCGACTACCGAAAGTTGAATAAGATCGTGAAGAAAGACGTGTATCCTTTACCACAAATAGACGACTCGCTGGACCGCATTCGCAATGCTTGTTACTTTTCTTCCATGGATCTACGCAGCGGCTATTGCCAAATTTCTGTTGATGAGCGCGACTGCGAAAAGACCGCTTTCATTACTCCTGACGGACTCACGAGTTCAAGGTCCTTCCCTTCGGCTTATGCTCGGCGCCAGCTACTTTTCAAAGAATGATGGACACGGGTTTTCTGGGCTAAAATGGCAATCCTGTCTGGTCTATTTTGACGATGTGGTCGTCTTCTCGGATACGTTTTAGCAGCACGTCCAGCTATTACAGCTGAGAAATGCCACTTTGCTTTCGAGGAACTGAAGTTTCTTGGTCACGTTGTCAACCACGCCGGTATATACCCAGACCCTGAGAAAACGAAAGCTGTTGTCGCATTTCCTGTCCCAACGAACAAGCGCGACCTCCGCCGATTTCTGGGACTCTGCGCATATTACAGACGCTTCGTCACAGGCTTTTCTAAAATCGCTGAATCGCTGAATGAACTTACGAAAGACGGCGTACTGTTTGTTTGGGGTCATTATCAGCATCACGCCTTTGACACGCTACGAAACCATCTCCAAGCCCCACCTGCACTCGGTCATTTTAATGACAACACTGCCACAGAGCTACATACGGATGCCAGCAACGTCGGACTTGGAGCTGTACTGGTTCAATGTCCAAATGGCGTAGAGCGCGTGATTGCCTATGCAAGTCGAACACTATCATCTGCAGAAATAAAAATACTCTGCAACAGAAAAAGAATGCTTAGCCATTGTTTGGGCTTTAACAAAGTTTCGCCCTCATTTGTACGGTTGACCATTCAGGGTAGTTAGCGACCACCATTCTTTATGCTGGCTCGCCAAACTCAAAGATCCTTCCGGTCGTCTAGCATGCTGGAGCCTTCGGCTGCAAGAATTTGACGTTACAATCATTCACAAGTCAGGACGCAAACACACTGATGCTGACTGTCTCTCACGTGCGCCAATTGGAAGTATAAACGTGGACGTTGAAGAGGACGATACATTCCTTTCCTTTGTATCAGCAACCGACTTGGCTCAACATCAACGCGACGACATAGAGCTAAGCCCGCTGATTACCTACCTCGAAGGCCGAAAATGCAGCCTTCCTCGAAACTTCGCACGTTCGCTGGCCTCGTTCTGCATCAGGGATGGAGTCCTCTATAAGAAAAATTTCGACCATACCCAGGCTACTTACCTACTGGTTGTGCCGACCTCGCTTTGGGACGATATTTTACATGCTTGTCACGACGAACCATCATCCGGACACCTTGGCTACACGCGCACATTCGAAAGAATTCGCCGCTCATACTACTGGCCACGCCTAGCGAAGACAGTCAAGCAGTACGTCCGCACATGCCGCGACTGCCAACGCCGTAAGACTCCATCTGTCCAACCAGCAGGACTACCACAGCCTATCGCCACGCCAAAAACATCATTCCCTCAAATTGGCACTGACTTGCTCGGCTCGTTTCCCAACTCTTCATCTGGAAACCGGTGGATTGTGGTTGCCACCAATTATTTAACGCATTACAGTGAAACAAATGCCCTGCCCAAAGCTACCGCAGCCGAAATCGCACAGTTTTTCGTCACCAGCATCGTACTTCGTCACGGAGCGCCAACTGTGATAATTACTGATCGTGGTACAGCTTTCACCGCAGAGATGCTTCAAGAAGTGCTGAGACTAAGTGGTACAGAACATCGGAAAAGCACGGGTTATCACCCCCAAACAAACGGACTCACTGAACGATTGAACAAGACCATTGCAGATATGCTGTCAATGTATATGTGGCCGTTGATCACAAGAACTGGGATGATATACTCACTTACGTAACTTTTGCTTACAATACAGCAGTCTAAGAGAGTACAGGCTTCACTCCATTTCGCTTAGTTCATGGTCGAGAGGTCACTACAATGCTTGACGCAATGCTCCTTCCCAACAACTTCGGCATGTTCAACGTGGACACTGCTTTGTTCGCTCAACGCGCCGAGGAAGCCCATCAACTTGCCCGATGCCGTATCCAAGCTCGCCAAACTGCTGACGCACACCGCTACAACCTTACACACCGACAGTAACATGAAGTTTGGGTGTGGACTCCCATCCGACAGTGTGGTCACTTTGAAAAGTTGCTGCGGCGCTACTTCGGCCCGTACAAAGTTCTGCGCCGACTCAGTGACGTTACGTACGAAGTTCTCCCTGAGGGCACCTCAAGACGTTCCCGTCGGTTTCCACAAAGTGGTGTGGTAAATGTGCCAAGGCTTAAGCCATATTTCTTGTGTCGTCCATCGAACGTGGACTGACTTACCATGCAATGACTATTTTTTGTCACTTTCATTTCTTTTTGATTGTCGTGTGTCGTAACTCCTTTCTTTATTGAGTACTTCTATGACACCAGCCCATTTTTCTTTCCTTACGACGCAGTTGTTGGATTACATGGTAGCATCTTTTCTTTCTCATTTTTTTTTCTCAACCCTCATTACCAGCATCGAGACTATGCTTTTCGAGGAGAGGGAATAATGTCACAGGTAACGGGTATGAGCCATCAACTGTAGGTGGAATCGCTTGGAAGTGAAGAAAGAAGAGGATTTTGCTTCCTGGTCTGAGGGCGAGCAAGACATCGATTCGTCGCTGTCTGTTATTTCGTTCGTGGCAATATGTGTATCTGTGCGTCTGTCTGTCTACATTATTGTGCTCACGTGGCAGTGTCGCTAAATGAATGTATACCAAATTTGGTGTGGAATAACAGGGCTGTATAACGAAGGGAAATGGCAGGTGATAACATGAAATGAATTATGTGTATGCGATGTACGGCATTACATTCCACACTCATGGTGTACTCGTGCCGGGTTCGTTAGATTGGTGTGCACCAAAATTGATAGAGTAGAGAGGGAGGACGACTAAATGTCGAACATGAATGACAAATGATAACATAAAAATCATGACTTGCATTTCATGCACTGCGTGACTTACATGAAAAGCTCATATGTTTGCAGCTTTTCTGCTACCTATGATATGAGGACAATGAATGACAAACTATAACATGAAAATAATGGCATACATAACATGTACCACACAATTCACATTACACTGCTTGACACAATTTACATTACACTGCTTGGCTGCACGTCAGGCCATTTTGTTAATGTCGTGTTTTAAATGTGAGTGAAACAAGGTGTTATCAGGTCGATGACATGAAGGATTGGTCTAATCTTAGCCCATTCACGTCGTCAATCTTGCTTCGTCTGAAATTTTTTAACACATTTAGAATTTATTTATTGTCAGTTTCATATGGATACAATCAGTGTGTGAGGGCGCTGGGTAAATACGTCAGCGCATCTTGATCGTGAGTGCTTTCAGCCAGTGGTGGAAATTATTCATAGAATTAATTTGCTAGAGTTCGAGGAACTACCGGCTGAAGTTACTGAGGAGGAGCAAACTGATGAGCGACAGCAGATAGTCCCTAATTTATGAGAAGTGGATGGTAGCTTGTGATATGCTAAATTTCATGCCAAACATTCGAAATTCATGTTGGTGTTCCTAACATACATGCATAGCAGCACAGAGTGTGAAAGAGTGTTCAAAAAGGTCAAGAAGGTGCTCACTCAGTTTCATGCCTCCATGTCAAAAAAGACTGTGGAGCAGTTCCTTGTCGCAAGATATGCCCAGTATCACCCAGGAAAGTGCCGCAAACAGGCCTTTCATAAAGACTTTTAGAGTAAGGACAAGGCCCACCCCTCCACTTCCTTGTTATATAAGAACATTTTGTGCCTCTTTTGTGATATGTTTCTCTTGTATTTAATTCATCTAAGTTTGTTTCTGCTAAATGAAGCAGTATTTTAGTATTTTTGTACTTAATTTCAGTATTTTTTGTCGTCTCCTGTAGCATGTTAACATGTCTGGGGTTGGCAAGAGTGTGATGAGTGCCATGCTTGGGATGCAGGTCTTTGTTCCCCTGGTGCGAGGTGTGGTGGAGCGCATGCGCAACTGCTCTCTACAATCGGAGTTGCTCCATTCCCCTTTGGCTGCTCTGGTGGAGCTGACGCAGTTGCGCTTTCAGGGAGGATGGCCTGTCTGCCAGCTGGTAAAGGCCAACAGCTTGATTTCAGTTTGGCTGCATTGGCTTCACGGGTGTGTCATGGAACAAGCAATCAAAGAAATGGCACCTCTACATTTGTGCTTCTTTTTTTCTAGGGTAACATATTTCAAGATACGGTAGAATCTCAATGATACGATTACTGTTGATTAGAATTTGAAGGTTGTTTTGGATGGACTGCGTTATATAAAATGCACTGTGATTCAATGTTATACAAATGGTTTTCCAAGCCACTACAAATTATACAAATGCACAATTGCCTCGAAGCAGACGAATGCGGCAAAACTCATTGGAATTTTCCTTGCTTCCCCACCTAAGTGGCCTGAAAAGCATGTCGTGAGGCTGATGCGAGAAAAAACTGTTCTAGACCAGTTTTTTCATGACGGGGTAGCATATCGCCTTTTTGCTTCACTACACGCAGCAACGGCACGGCTCAAACCACATCATGTAAACAACTAATCGCAAACTCAACGTGGCGGCAAAGCCGTCGGCAGTGGCTCGTATCGGCACAATTGCGAAATATCTGCGCAGCATAACAAAGGTCACGGCCTCAACAGGGACGCTTTCATCGAGAACCTGGTTTGGAGAACACCGGAAGTAGAAGAAGGTGCAGCAGCTGTGAGCCGGCATGCCCCAACATGTCTCGCTTTTGCTCAGGCAACTGAATTACTCGCTGCAGGTGTCCGCTTGGTATCATTTCTGGTGGCGTATCTCTCAAAGCAATGTTCGAAAAGGTGCAAATTCATGCATAACTAGAACTCTGCATTAATTTGAAAGTTCGGGAAAGGAGAAAAATGGAATGAATCCTCAAGGTGGCAAAGGCGACAGCGGTGGTGGCATATGAGGGGCAGAACGAATGTAAATGTTTTCGGCATGCACGCGCAGGGTATTTGGGTGCTCTGGCACTTTCGCTTTGCTCCTCAACTGTGTGTGCTCCAGGACTGGGTTTTTTCATGTCGACTTCCCAGAATGGTTTTCCAGTTGCTTAGGGGGCAGAGCAAGTGAATTTATGATGATTTTTGCCACTTTCGCTCCCTTTTAGGCCAAGTGTGAATGCCCCTCAATCGCACACAGCATGAGTGAAGAAACCGTAGCAAGGCTTTATTCCCTCCAGGCAGCTTTCTTAAGGGACAGCAAAGTCAGAGAAATTCAAAAGAACATTATGGAGCTTTCAGCAAAAAGTAGCCGACTCCAATAAATCTTGTTCATCTTCATGACCAGCTTTAACTTGTTTTGTTTTATTTGGTATCATTGAGATTCTACTGTAGTTGGGTGTTCATACCAGGGGTGAAAACAGCGCACTTGACAAGGACACACAAGAACGGACAGCACCTGGTGTCATGTGTTTCCTTGTTCCTCATGAAGTGTGCTCTTTTTCACAATGTCAGTGAGAAATTATTCAAAGGAATTGCAGCTGTTTTAACAGACTTTAAGATTAAGCATTTGAACTGTCAAGATAATTTTGAAGAGCATAGCTTTTAGGTGCATTGCCTATTCGATAGATGGTGGACGACTCCCTGTGGCTGCCCACACCCATGACGGCCAGTGGAGGCCGCGAGCTGAGTCGGCTCTCACTGCTGGGGCCCTTCCTTGCCCTGTCACCTTTTGCCGAGGACGAGGTCAGTAGACTTGCATGTATTGGGCCTCGCAAAACAGTGCCACATTGTCGCGCAGCCCAACCTTGTGCGGGCCTACTACGAGGATCGGGACCCAGAGCACGTGCAGCTGGCGCACCACACGCTGCAGGGCAAGTTGGAGACGACCAGGGTGTGTGAGCCACTGTTGCTGTCTGCCGTCGCGTGTGCGCTTACGTTTGCACGTGCAGGCCCAGCTGCATGTAGTGATGCGCTCCCTGGTGCGATCGTGCCGGGAGGAAGTGCTCACGTGGCTGGGGTCGGTGCTCAAGGCCAACGAGCGGCGCTGCCAGCTCCAAGTGGAGCCCCGCCACGTGGCCTCGGATGGCTTCATGCTCAACTTGGCCGCTGTGCTGCAACTACTGGCTCTCCGTGTTCAGCCAGACAAGGTCAGCCATTCGCTCTGTCTGCAGGCAACTGTTGTGGACGGCAGGCAATGTACTTTGTCATCTGGGTCACCATGCTGACCCACATCGTGTTTTATTGCTGCATTGCATTGGAACGGGAGTCCACGTTCAAAACACTAATGCCGGTTGACCTGAAGTGGGTTCCACTGGTCACTTCAGAGCAACTCGCTCCATGCCAGATTGCCTTCACTTGCTCCTTTGCCAAAATGGAAAAGGATCGTACATGCAACCTTGAAGGCAGCAACCAAGGTTTTCCTTTTAAACTGCAGGAATAATTTCCTTAACCAGTTTTTGGATTTAGCGAACATGTGTCCCAAGTAGGAGTGTGCTAATAGTGAAATTTCATCTCAAATTGATTCAAATCAAATAATGCTGGTTAGTGGCTGAAAAAATTTGAATCAAAATCGAATATTGAATAACATACAGTAAAAGCTCGTTAATTCGGATTTCACGGGACCGGAAAAACTGTCCGAATTAACCGAATGCCGAATTAACGAATGAACAGGAAAAACAACATTTAAAATCAAGCTGCAGAAGCATACCTTTATTTGTTGAGGTATTTTGTAATTGTCATCTGCGTTTTCGCACAGATTCCGGCCTACATCACAATTTTTCTTTACTGTTCCAAATGGCCAACAGCACGCAAGCTGTCGGAAGTGTTCAGGCAAGCGTCCTCTAATATTAACAGCGCCTCCGAGACTTTCCGTGAGGTGCAATGAGGTCGCGGCTGTATCTCCTCGCATGATTCTTCGTCGGAATCGTGGTCTTCATGGGCACCTGTGACATCATTAATAATCTCTTGATCGGTCAGGAGACCACTCGTGGCGACACCATGATCAATCGCGATGTAGTCCTGAAAGGTCACATCTGTGGGATGGACAGCATTGAAAGTCGGGCAGTCATCGTCGGTGGACTCGGCTGACACCTCCTCGATGCCATCGTCAGCTACTGCTGCATGCTCGGGCCTCACAAAACCGCTGTGCCAAAAACAGTTGGCGATGACTTGCGGCGGGGTGTTTTTCCACACGTGGGCGATGATGTGCACTGCGCCGAGTAAGTCCACTTGATACAACTTTCCAGCTTCTGAGCATAGGATCATTCACTCTAGCAGGTGCTTGCGGTACTTCGACTTCACGTAGTGAATGATACCCTGGTCCATCGGCTGAAGAGCAGATGTAGTGTTGGGCGGCAAAAAAACTACTTTGATTCTCTTCAGTTCGACTGTACAGTTATGGGCACTGCAGTTGTCAACAACCATAATTATCTTGCGGTCCTTCGACGTGAAGTGCCGGTCCAACTGCTGCAGCTAGCCGCGAAAAATGTCGATGTCATCCATGCCTTTCTGTTCGCTGTGTACTCGACAGGAAGGCTTTTGACGTTCTTAAAACAACGTGGCTTAAGCGCCTTCCTGACGACAAGTAGTGGCAAGCGCTCCGTGCCAGTCATATTGGCGGCAAGAAGCACAGTTATCCTTTGCTTGCACTTCTTGCCACCAATGCACGCGTCCCCTTTGAAAATCACCGCCTTGTCGGGCAGAGCTCTGAAAAATAGAGCAGTTTCATCTGCATTGAACACGTCACGTGGTTCATATGCGGCGATGAGCTCCAGCAGCTTCACATTTCTCCACTCGGTGGTCACGCTTTCGTCAACACTGGCCTTTTCGCCGCACACACTCCTGAAGACAAGTTCGTGTCTCTCTCGAAACCTCGCAAACCACCCTTCTGACGCTTTGAACGATTCAAAGTTCATCATTGCAGCGTACTTCTCACCTTGCGCCATGATGAGAAGTCCGCTCAAAGGCAGATGCGCATTGCGACAGTCAGTAATCCACCGGAGCAAAGCTTCTTCGAGCTGGGGATGAGCTGCGGTTCGCAACAGCTTTCTAGAGGCATGAAACTTCTCGCTTTCGAAGACTTGTCAAATCTGTTGTTAATTTTTCACGTACGTTTTCAACGTGCTCCGCTTCACGTTGTACTTGGTCATAACCTGCTGTCGCCATTCGCCGTTCTTCAGTGCTTCCAAAATTTCCACTTTAGTCGCCAAGTTCTTCGCGTCGTAGTTCTGCCGCTTTTTCGGCGTTGCCATCACCACTAGTTGATGATGATGGCGATGCCACTCTGGTTTCGGTTTCACTCCAGTGGTGCCAGCGCTGCTTTATCACACTTTTGTGTAGCAGCAGCCGTCAGCATTTGTCCGAATTAAGTGGTGCGGAGTCGAATTTCAACGAAATAACGAAAGTTTGGTCCCATAGATTAACATGCACTTTGGCCGGGACCAATAGAGCCGTCCGAATTTCCGAATTAACGGGTGTCGAATTAATGAGGTTTTACTGTATTTACACAAAATGTAAACCACTAGTTATGGCAAGACAAAGGAAAAACAAAGACGCTATGACATTGCTGACAGCTTTGCAAACTGCAATCGTGTTTGGTTGTTTTGAAATTTTGTCGTTTTTTGCTGGTATTTTTTTTCCCTGTGTTCTTGCAATATGGCTTATTTGACAATGTTGGGCTTCATCCGTGCCCCAAGCCTGAACATCTTGAGGTGCCTATTCGCAGCAGCGTTCTAACTCCACGCTGGAAGCTTGTGAGTGAGTGGTATGGGCGACTACACAGCGTGAACCAATTTTCACATAGGAAGCAAATGGCTGAGAGTATTGCGAACCAAAGTCTGCGTGTTTCACGGCACTTTTGGTATTCGCTACCGATTTATGCAGAAAGTCCATGCCTTTATTATGGAAGTAAAGCTGTGAAGGGCTTGACATGTATTTCCTATGACATGTATTCCTATGTATTTTTTTTTTCAACGTGCAGAAATGCCATAATCCTCTTTAAAATAAGCATGCACTCGTTCTTCAACCAAGTTACCAATGAGCGTTTTAGCCAAAGGCCTACTGTGACAACGTTGGCGTTTGTTCTAGCCACTCAGCCTAGCCAAGTTGCACCCATTGGCTTTTGCTATATATTAAATATTTGCCTTGTCGAATGATTCCAAGCTTATAATACCACTTAATTAAAAGCCAGATCGAATTTTCGGTTAGGTATTATTGGATTCAAATTGGAAACTCGAATTATCGCGTGCCCCTATTCCCAAGGTGTAATGAGGCCTAAAAACGGTTTCAATGCCCAGCGTATGGAAGGCTGTCTGAACAGAGTCTGATCTGATATACATTCAACGTACGGAATGGACAAAGGGCACATTGTATTTTCTCATGGTGCACTCCTCATTCCTTTATTAATTAATTAACATCCCAGGATAATGTTCCAGTTCGTCAACCATGTTTTTTCACTTAATGTAGCTACAGCTATTCATTAGAGCACACTCAATCTCAAGATCGCCAGCTTGCGAGATTCACATCTGAATTGACAGAGTCTGCCCAAGGATTTGCCAGGTGGTGTGATAAATGCTAATATAGACTTTATAATTGCTTGCTGACTGGGGCAGTTCCAAATACTACTACTTTTATTGAAATAGCAGTGCTCATGTTCACTCTGCATGATTTAGGCATAGTTGAATGGTTCCTACATGTAAATCCTCGTTAATTCGAAGTCACTGGGGCCATGAGAAATCTTTGAATTAAGCAGGTTTTCCTATTAACAGAACATATAAAAAGTGGGATGCAAAGAACTTGGAATTACTATTTGAAGTAATCAGGGCTGGTCGTTTGCTGTGCTAACTAGTTCACGGCTCTAAGGGTCATGTTTTCTTGCAATACCTGGTCTTAATTTTTACCTAAAACATGGAGGAACCACGGGTCTCACTGCTGCCAGAAAACTAAAAGAAAAAGATCATGCTGTCCTGATAAACTAGAATGTGCACCTGCGTGATGACACGCGGGCAGAATGCTGCCTGCTTTGCGCTGCATCGGCACGTTCGCCCATTCTTTCTGGTAAAATAAAGGTTTAAGAAAATCACAGCATGTCCACGTAGTGAATGATGATGAGTGAAGCGAAGAATCTGTGTGCCTGTTTTTCCGTTCGTTTTGCCTGTCCGTGTACCTGTCTGTCTGTCCGTGTGTCTGTCTGTCTGTCTGTCGATCCGTTGGTCCATCTGCCTGCCTGTCTGTTTGTGTGTCCATTTGTAGGTCAGTCTGTTTCTCAGTTCGGCCGGTTATGCCTGACACAGGACAAGGTTCGACTAAGAGGAGATTCGCGCCTAATTATGGCCAGTGTGATGGAATTCGTGATGTTTTGGCTGGAAAACATGATCATTGAAGCTTTCGGAGCTATGTTTCAAATAGGCGTTGCAGGGAGAAACTCTGCCAGCGATGCAAGGGTGCAAATTGCTGGAGCCACCGGCAATCGGAGGTTCGCATACATCAGGAATTCGGCCTAACTGTCCTTTATTAAATTTTTTTCGAATCCTAGAAAGAATGGTTAAATCATGACACGCTGACATAGCGAGAAACGAGTGATATGCTGCCTGCGCATCACCGCTTTATTGCAGTGAAGCATGTTTTGTTTTCCGCAGGTGCACGTATCAGTTAACCACGAAACCGTTTTTTTTCCACCTTTTTTGAACTGGAAGTCGCTGGGCTGGGGTGATCTTCAGCTGCCACTCATTAGTATTGCTATGTTGCATTTCCTTATGGCTCTTAAAGGCTGTCGTTTGCGTGAATTTGCGGCGAAATCGGGAATAGGCCTATGACACCCAAAGTTTTCGAATTAACCGGACTGGTGCTGATTGCTGCGGAAATATTTCAAATTAAGAGGGATTTGCAAATAACCGAGTTCTAAATAATGAGTGGTTTCACTGTACATTTCTTTTTAATGTAAACCTTCTGTACAATGCTCCAAATTTGGATTTTAGTGCTCTAAAAGTAACATTTTGATGCTCAGAAAATTGCTCCAAAATTTTATTTTGGCTGTTTCACCCCTGAATATAGTAGACTCTCAGTAAATGAAACCTGGAGGAACCAGGAAAATATGTTCCATTTAACAGGAGTTTCGTTTACTGAGAGGTGCACATGGGTGAAAAATGCC